TCTCTCTCTCTCTCTCTTTACCCCGTCTGGTCCTTGGACATCCTTCAAATCGAAGATCCCTTTATAGGCTGCCATCGCCATGGCTACCACTGCCATTAGCAACCAACACCGCTGCTGGGGTGAAAAAGTTGGTGTCTGCCCCAACTCTCGCTGTGAAAGAAATGTGTGTTTGTAGTGGTGTGTCTCTTTACAAAGTGTGTGGTGTTGTCACTGGCTGTCATTGATATCATGGGATGAGTAGTGTGTGTGTTTATGTGTGTGAGTGAGTGTTTTCTTTGCGTATAGCTTTGGTTGGGATGCGAGCAAAGCCCCCATGCGGCTGCCTCATTGGCTGGATGACTGACCGAGAGTGTGATGGGAGGAGCACTATTAATTTCCCTGTTGTTGGAAAAGGTCACAGGGTCACGGCATTGTGGTCCACAATTAAGAGAACACGACAAATAGGACAAGGGGCGCCGGTCCGCGGGAGAGCACGGAGAGCAGGGCCAGACAAAGACGGGGACGGAGATGCAGCTTCACATAACTCAGGGCCGGACAAAAGGCCTGCGACAGCCCGGTGACACCACAGCAACACCAGCGCACACACACAACCACACCGGCATGCACAGAAACATCAGCGTAGTGCATTCCTTTACACGACAACAATTCAAGAAGAGGCCTTCATGGGGCTTTTATTAAACAATCATGCCTAATAGTTTTTCTTTGAATGTGGAGATAAAATATTTGTATTCGCAAATATGCTGATGAGACCCATGTTTATGTTAATCTAAGCCCTGATTAGATCCAAGTCTAGGGACGTTCCAAGAGTCCTTGACAGGTTTTAGGAGGCCAAGCATAATGAAGAAAAAAAGGGGAATTTATCTGTGTTCATTTAAAAAAATTATAATATAACAAAATTTTAAAATAATTGTTTTTAGCTCAAACTCTTGCTTTTAAAACCATTTTCAAAGGATTTGAATTGGTGCATATTCAGTGGCTTATTTGTGTTGTTTAATGCTTTTTTTTGCTGCAAATTTTATTAAATGAAGCATTAAGAGGATATCGTTCACTATAAATCACAAGAAAGAGTGTCCTCTTGCAGCAGAAAACACAACTTTTGAATGTGTGGAGACATTAAACCACTGTGTGAATCAACTGCTCTTTTGTAAAAATCTGCATATTTTATTTGTGAAAATCAGTAGTAACCGAAACTGAGGACTGAACAAAAACCAAGATACGATTGGTAAGCATTAAGTCTATCCAATCCAGACTCCAACCTCTGTTTGGCCGCTAATGTAGACAGAACAGGTGGACAACTAGAACAGCAGCTGTCAAACTATCTTCACCAGGCTGACTGAAATTTACTGGAAAAAAAAAACTGGACTCCCTGGACTCATGTATTTTTATTTCCCTGCAGAGTCTGCCAAAACTAAAAGAATAAACCACAAAGCACCCAAAGCAAAACTATGGCCTTGATCAAACATTACACATTCTGTTAAGTAAGTTCACCACATAAAAAAGCGGTCAACCTGTGGAGTTATTGACCACTAGCGCTGTTATGCTAGCACTCGAATGGATGCAAATGTACGTGAATGAGCATGTCGACACATATTCCTACGATCTACAGTTGGTGGTGGTAACACATAAGAAAAAGTAGCAAGACTGATAGATAGCAAACACTGATAAATGATGCAGGTTTTCATGAGAAAGGAAATGCATTCATTGGATGTGTTTGGCCTCTGGGAAACACACAATATGTTTTGGTGAGAAACACTAACTATAAACATTTATACTGACATTTATTTACCAGAAAACTCCAGAGGGAACTTTTAACTGTAACCGAATTCTCAGTAACAAAGTGCAGAATGAAAAACATCTGCTATTTTAAACTTCTTTCACTGTCACTGCCGAGAGGAGGGTATTACTCATTAGTATAATTATGGAGGTTGCAGTGACAAAGTTTTAAACCTACTTTTCAGGCCAAAAATGAGCCGCATTTTAATTTAGCCTTGCTGCATCCTGAGGCAGTGGGTTCACTGAGGGCCATGTGTCCACTTCAGGCTGAAAAATAAAGTAAGTCTGGCTTTAACAGTCGTAATTCCATCAAAGCACTGTGGACTGTAATCTGGTAAACAGGCACAATGGGCATTGATGGAAGGAGAAAGACGGAGAGGGAAACAGAGAGGGGGGATGGGTGTCTAGCCAACAGTACCAACATCCATCAGAGCAACGGCACTTCCTTCCCAGCAGACAGACGGAGAGCCGACTGTATGTGTTTATCTGAAAGGGCACAGACAAGTGTGTGTGTGTGTGTTTGAGGAACAGTGGAAAAGAGAAAGAACATGTGTGTGTAGGCCAGTCTGCTCTCTTCCCTAAGGAGGTCAGTCTCTACAACAAACACTCACATTCTTCCAGCCCGGCTGACCTCATAAATAAGACAAGGAGCCCTGCGCACACACACACACACA